AGAGAGAGAGAGAGAGAGAGAGAGGCAGAGAGAAAGAGAGAGATTGACTAATTTCGTTCACAAACCTAGATAAATATTCTTTATGATCTCATCTTTTAATCCTATTTTTATAAATTCAAGACTGTATTTAAGATATTAGAATCAAATTCAACATTAGTTTATTTAATATAGAAGGTAATAATAATATTAAAGAAACTAATGTTGAATTTGATAAATTATCAACATTCAGAGTAATGATATTTTTCCACTAAACACAAATATATGGTATCAAGAATTAGCTAACTAGAATAAGATTTTTTATAAAACCTAAAATAATAAATGATAATTTTAATTTATATATAAGTTATTTTAAATTATAAAAAAATTACTTTTTTTTATTTTTTTCTATTAAATGGTTTGGAGAAACTTACATCGATCTTCTCGCTGAAATATCTAACTGTTGCAGTGTCTTGTCTCTTGATGTTCTTGAATTTAAATGTGTAGAATGAATCAAGAAATCATATATTTAAATTCTACCACTTATTACAAAAGTTGTTATTTAGAGGAGAATAATTCAACAAAATATAAAGTAGAGGTAATAATAACATGCAGCGCTTAAAATATATTATAAAAAAAAAAACATTAGAAATATTAGAACTGTATATAATATTTTTAAAAGTCCCATGATAGATATTATTTAATTGTTGACATCTTTAATGTATTTTTTAATTATAAGTATGCATAAAAATTATCTTTATTTAATGATAGTGTTTTTAGGTTATTTTCCTTCTCAGAAACTATCAGTTTCCAACGCCCAATGTTTGATTCAATTATGAATGATTAACTTGTTCAAGATGGACTCAATATAACAGTATTAAGGAAAAAAAACCATTAAAAAATAATTCTACATTCGATGATCAGTGGTCTAAACCTGTTTTTGTTATTTAAGAAAAAGGAGATAAAGTAAGGAAGTTGCATATCCAAAGTTGAAGGAAAGACGTCTGAATTAAGAACATAGAAGACTTTATTAAGAACATAAAAGACTTTACAGATACTAATTGTTGTGAGAGCATGTTGCTTTACAGAAATGTATCAAAGGTTGTTCAGAGCTTCTGAATAATGCACGTCAATTGCTAAAATAGAAAGTAAAAATTAAGATCTAAAACCCTTTATTATGGGATATTTTGTTAATTAATGTCTTAGGAGATATGGTCCTTCATTTATACTTTTCAGGTGATATCATATGAATATTTGCCACGTACCTACCGGGCAAAGCTATTTTGGTTTTCATATATTTTGTTTGAATTTTAAATTCAAAAGAAAAAGCACTAAGAAGAAAGGTTTAAAAATATTTGCTTTTTAGAAACTGGGTTTTCTTTCTTTTTATTTTACTTTGTTTTCAATCGAACAAAAAAATAACTACAGTTAATTAAGTTAACAATAATGACGTAAAAATTTGTCGTAATGTCGTTTTGTTTGAAGATGTTTTTCCTAGTTTAGATAATCCTAGTGATCATAACAACATATGTTTCTGTCTTTATACAATTCTCAAATCTATGTAGTCCATATGTTTTTCATGATAATACTGCTAATAATGATGTCACTGTTTTTCTCCTGAAAACATACTTGAGAATAGTTCTCTTAGAAGATGTAGCAGAGCGAAACTCACTCCTGATTATTTAAAAGACTATCAAGTTAAATTTAACACCTACTTTTCATAATTTATTTGTATAAAGACAATAGTGTACTTGTATTTGTGGACAGCTTGAAATTAAATTACACATCGTATTAATTTCAATTCAAATGTAATATTGTCGTGGACTGCAATTTCATTTATCTGTATCTCAACCTAACCCAATTAACTAAGCATAACAGATGTTAAATATAAGGTGATTGGTGCCTAGAAATTGATTGATTACTTTAAATGACATTTTAATGAATAACCAAATTAATAGACCTACTAAATCAAATTACCAAATTGTCAGAGGTCAAAATATATTTAATGCATTAATATATCTTGTAGTAATATTATGTTTCTCCATATTAACATAGCATGAATTGATATATTTATAAATTCATCAGAATCTCAGTTCTATTTGAGCTAACCTAATAATAAACTTTGTTGAGTGAATAAACATTCAAAACTGTAAATAAAAATCAAGGCAATAAATTAAATCCATTTCAAACACAACTCATACAAACAACATATGCCATCAAAATCGGCTTGCCTAAACATCCCTGAAAGTTACAAGGTTGTTTATTCCTTCAATTCGGGAAAATGAATCGTATTTGATAGCAGGTAGCTTATAACAACTGAACTAAAACTTCTTGGCCGAAAAAAATCAAGTTTGAAAATGCTAATATTAAACATTTTTTTTCGTTTCGACTAGATACTATAAATACTGCTACGAAAAGCATTTATCTATCTTTTTATCCTATGTGTAAAAAGATTGTAGCGTCTAATTAAAAAAGAAAGCTTCACAACCAATGGTCGTTACAGAATCCTAAAACCAGGACCTAAACATTAATATATATGCTTAAATACAAAACTGCTAACATGTAAATAGCAGTACAAGACTAAACATCCAAACTTAGATTGTGCAATCTGCAATTTTACTAACTAACAATATAATAGTTGCATTGAAAGAGTTGAAACAACTGTCACATAATACCGAATATACCAATTTTCTCAATCAAGTAAATCGGAAAGTGCCTTTTTCTTAAATGCTTCAACTTCAACCAACCGGTTAGCCACTGATTTGTTGGGAAATATGTTATCAGATTTCATCCTCTCTCTAATACCATAAGCTGGAACCTTGGCGTTTCTATATGCCTGTATCAGAGCTTCAAACTGACTTATTCGAGATGTATATCCAGAACTTCTCATTGCATGAAAAATCTTCTCCGAGTTATGGACGTCGCCCCTTCTTGAATACTGCCATAAAATAGTCATATAGGTGCTAAACATTGGTCGCATATTATACCGTTGGATTGCCTTCTGCAAAATAGAGTCTGCCTTTTCAACTTCACCTGCTTCGATATACAGTTTCACAAGTGCATTCCAGGCAAAAGGGCCTATATTGATCCCACTATCTGCCATTCGCTTAATAAGATCCTTACCCTTCTTTAGCATATTATTATTTGCATAAATCATCAGAAGAACTGAGTATTTCTTGGAATTAAGTTTCCATTTCTTTGACGCCCTATCAAAAATTGATTCAGCTTCTTCAATTTTCTTTAACTTTCCCCAAGCTTCAACTGCAGCAAGGCAGTCATCAACCCCAGGATTTGATTCACAAACCTTCCAAATTCTCTCCACTTCATCGGCCTTTCCCAGGTTTGCATAAAGACGAATTAATGTTGCACATAGCCACCGATTCTCTTTCAAGTTTTCACCTTCTATCTCCTTCAGTACAGTTTCAGCCTTTTCATTGAGCCCAGCTTTGGTGTAATGTTTAGCCAAGAGTTCCTGAATTTGGATGTCTGGCTCAATCCCTTCCACCTTCATTGTCTCCAATACTTGCTCCATTCCAGCAATATCATTGAAGTGGCCCTTCGTGTCTAATAAGAGTCTGTAAGTAAAGATACAAGGTTTGACATTCTCTTTTTCCATCAGTAGTAACACATCAGCCATTTTCTGCTTGTTCAAATTCTTGTACAAAAGCAGCAACTGGTTACAAGTAAATGATGTAAGTGGAAAATTCAAGTCCTTCATTTTGTTGAATATTCTCTCAGTTGCCATTATATTGCTCCGACCAGCACAGTTAGCCAGCAGCGTTCGGTATAATAGCTCACCTCTAAAAGATTCTGGAACACTCTCAATGTATTTCTCTGCCTTTTGGAGGCCATGTAACTTGGCAATCAAATCGAGTTTAGAAACATAATCTCTTTCACCAAATTCAAGCTTCTTGTTTGACTCTAACCACTGAAAGAGCTACAGCTCCAATAAAGAAAACATTACAGCATAAAGCATTATATTGAAAAACCAGAAACTTAAAAAAGGTTATTATACATCATCAATGTCAATTCGTAAATTAAACAGATACCATAGTTATTGTTCACATAAAGCTGAAGAGCAGAAATTTTGATGATGTCTAAAAGTCAAGTCTCAAGTGCTCTTATTGCAAGAAGATCTTCATGAAGACTTGTTTTTATATTAAAGCTTTTGTACTTTAGTAGATTTATGTATAGGGTGTGGTTTATCTTTGATTCTATGCNTTCGCAAGTGGTCGAACGGCCTTACATATACACAAGTAAACTTACGAGCGTTCATTAAGTAAAAAGGACGAACGGTGTACAAAATAAATACCGAACGTCCAACTATACAACTATAGCAAAAGGGCGCTCGTTCTAAAACGGCCCGCTAACCTAACTATACTAACAGCTCACCGAACATCCTACTGTTCGGCCTTCACTTCAACCTCTACAAGATTCTCTTCAGCAATGAATCCTTCTTCAAGTGTTTCCTCCAAAGAAGCATCTCCTTCTGCTCACATCCACACGGATGATCATTGCATTGACAGGACGGACGTACAGATACAGACAACATAATGGAAAAACGAAAGGGTAAGCTTATTGAATTTAATTCAAGTAAAACATACATTTCATGCATATCAATACATCACATAATTCACAACACATACATTCAGTTCATCCATTAACTCAATCAAATTCCTGGTACTAGACTGACTGTCCAGACTGTATGAATCCTGTGTAGCTAAGGCGTCCGTGTGCACAGGTGGAATAACTGGAATACTCATCAGTCGCCACCTGAGGTTAGTCCGCTCTGTCCAAGTTACAGTTATGGACTAAGACCTCCTGTCATTCCCACACATGACATACTCCTCTCTACTTGAGAACGAGCACTCACGGAATATCAGGATGAACCACCATCTAAGCTTACCACGTTCATACTTTACCATTTCAATTCCATTCAAGAGTCCTTCCTCCCTGGAACGCTCGTTCAAAATCCACAATCATAATTTCAGTTCTTATACTGTTCGCACATCATGATACTTCCTTTTAATAACATTTTCATTCTTTGTTCCACTTACATAAAACGACGAGCGTTCAATCCTCTTCCTAACGAGGACGAACGTCAAAAGCGAGACCTAAAGATCTTCTTTTCTGAAAGGATAAAGCTGACACATTTTACATGACGAACGTTATTACAATTTGAATCAGTTAAATGAACTGACTCTAGAACAATTCAACTTATACTTAGAATAATTCACTTGCCAAGATTCAGAGTTAATCCAACTGAATGAAGATACAGAAGACGAGTACTAAATGTACTAAGTACAATTTAGTTAGAATAAACCGACTGCCAGTAAATGACCGAACGCGGTATGCGAATTCACTGAAGTTTAGGACGAACGCTATTTAAGTTTACGGACGAAAGCTATTTCAGTTCAGGACGAACGCTATTTCGGCTCGTTGGAAATTACGAGAAGAACGAACGTTCGGTATAGGACCGAGCGTTCCTTTATAACATACGCATTGGGACGGGCGTTCGGTATAAGACCGAGCGCCACTTAGGACGTACGCTTTGGTTCGAGACCCATCGCTGATTCAAAATCATAGAAAATGGAATTTATATAAGATGAGATGTTTACAGTCGTGATTTTAACAAAATGGCTAAGTGTCCGAATGTATAATTTCAAGTTTCGCAAATTCTCACACAACACTCAGGATATCTACGTTTGGCCGAACGCTCAAACGTAAGACTAATATAAGAGGGCGTTCGTCCTCAAATAGAATCCTTTCCAAATGAAAGGGTTCAGCTATTTCAAAGAAGTTACTGAGAATACCGAACGGTCAAAGACCGTTTCGATAACGAACGTTCATTATCATATAATTTCATATTCAAATTCAACTTACAGTAAACACACAATTTTTCAGTATAATCTTCCATACATTTAATTACTCATATCATAGTATTTTCCATACTTCTCATGCATTATCTCATCATCATATCATACACCAAAATCAAATAACATAGATCATACTTAATAAAATTCACAGAACATTCATACAACACAGTACAACGCAAGAATTAAATTTAATAAGCTTCCCTTACCCGGATTCAGTAGTGATCGTTCTAAGGGTGTGTGATCTTAACTCGTTCAATATGGCTTTCTACTCTCAACTTTTCTCTTAAGCTCTTCAACTAAAACTAATCAAAAGAAACACATAGGACTTGGTTTATATCCTTGCACGCAGATGAAAATGGGTTTGCATATAACTCAGAAACGAACGTCTTAGGTTGGGAAACTTACCGGTTACAGAACTGGAAGTTGTTCGGTCTAAGATGAAGCTCACGGTGCAGAGGACGTTCCTACGGTGCTGAAACGTGAACGGAGAAGAGAATGGTAAGTTACAGAAGAGAGAAGGAGGAGGGTTCTAGAGAGAAGGAGGAGAAAATGGAGGTTGGATTTTTTGAGGAAGATGAAGGTGCACGCAGAGAAGGGAAGAGTGTTTCAGAAAAATTAATTCCCTTCCCAAGTCAAACGGACGTTCTCTCTTGCGCTGACACCTGGCTTCCAATATTGAATTCAGAACCTTCCAATTTGACACATGTCAGAGAGAAGTCAGAGAATGTGAGTGCATTTTAATGGCACTGCACGTGGGGCATGGGTGCATTTATGGAAGCAAGGAAGTGACTCAGCACAGTAATAAATGAGACGTGACACTAGTGATGATAACAACATATGTTTCTGTCTTTATACAATTCTCAAATCTATGTAGTCCATATGTTTTTCATGATAATACTGCTAATAATGATGTCACTGTTTTTCTCCAGAAAACCAACTTGAGAATAGTTCTCTTAGAAGATGTAGCAGAGCGAAACTCACTCCTGATTATTTAAAAGACTATCAAGTTAAATTTAACACCTACTTTTCATAATTTATTTGTATAAAGACAATAGTGTACTTGTATTTGTGGACAGCTTGAAATTAAATTACACATCGTATTAATTTCAATTCAAATGTAATATTGTCGTGGACTGCAATTTCATTTATCTGTATCTCAACCTAACCCAATTAACTAAGCATAACAGATGTTAAATATAAGGTGATTGTTGCCTAGAAATTGATTGATTACTTTAAATGACATTTTAATGAATAACCAAATTAATAGACCTACTAAATCAAATTACCAAATTGTCAGAGGTCAAAATATATTTAATGCATTAATATATCTTGTAGTAATATTATGTTTCTCCATATTAACATAGCATGAATTGATATATTTATAAATTCATCAGAATCTCAGTTCTATTTGTGCTAACCTAATAATAAACTTTGTTGAGTGAATAAACATTCAAAACTGTAAATAAAAATCAAGGCAATAAATTAAATCCATTTCAAACACAACTCATACAAACAACATATGCCATCAAAATCGGCTTGCCTAAACATCCCTGAAAGTTACAAGGTTGTTTATTCCTTCAATTCGGGAAAATGAATCGTATTTGATAGCAGGTAGCTTATAACAACTGAACTAAAACTTCTTGGCCGAAAAAAATCAAGTTTGAAAATGCTAATATTAAACATTTTTTTTCGTTTCGACTAGATACTATAAATGCTATTACGAAAAGCATTTACCTACTGTCATGCTATCCTATGTGTAAAAAGATTGTAGCGTCTAATTAAAAAAGAAAGCTTCACAACCAATGGTCGTTACAGAATCCTAAAACCAGGACCTAAACATTAATATATATGCTTAAATACAAAACTGCTAACATGTAAATAGCAGTACAAGACTAAACATCCAAACTTAGATTGTGCAATCTGCAATTTTACTAACTAACAATATAATAGTTGCATTGAAAGAGTTGAAACAACTGTCACATAATACCGAATATACCAATTTTCTCAATCAAGTAAATCGGAAAGTGCCTTTTTCTTAAATGCTTCAACTTCAACCAACCGGTTAGCCACTGATTTGTTGGGAAATATGTTATCAGTTTTCATCCTCTCTCTAATACCATAAGCTGGAACCTTGGCGTTTCTATATGCCTGTATCAGAGCTTCTAACTGACTTATTCGAGATGTATATCCAGAACTTCTCATTGCATGAAAAATCTTCTCCGAGTTATGGACGTCGCCCCTTCTTGAATACTGCCATAAAATAGTCATATAGGTGCTAAACATTGGTCGCATATTATACCGTTGGATTGCCTTCTGCAAAATAGAGTCTGCCTTTTCAACTTCACCTGCTTCGATATACAGTTTCACAAGTGCATTCCAGGTCAAAGGGCCTATATTGGTCCCGCTATCTGCCATTCGCTTAACAAGATCCTTACCCTTCTTTAGCATATTATTATTTGCATAAATCATCAGAAGAACTGAGTATTTCTTGGAATTAAGTTTCCATTTCTTTGACGCCCTATCAAAAATTGATTCAGCTTCTTCAATTTTCTTTAACTTTCCCCAAGCTTCAACTGCAGCAAGGCAGTCATCAATCCCAGCCTTTGATTCACAAACCTTCCAAATTCTCTCCACTTCATCGGCCTTTCCCAGGTTTGCATAAAGACGAATTAATGTTGCACATAGCCACCGATTCTCTTTCAAGTTTTCACCTTCTATCTCCTTCAGTACAGTTTCAGCCTTTTCATTGAGCCCAGCTTTGGTGTAATGTTTAGCCAAGAGTTCCTGAATTTGGATGTCTGGCTCAATCCCTTCCACCTTCATTGTCTCCAATACTTGCTCCATTCCAGCAATATCATTAGACTGGCCCTTCACGTCTAATAAGATTCTGTAAGTAAAGATACAAGGTTTGACATTCTCTTTTTCCATCAGTAGTAACACATCAGCCATTTTCTGCTTGTTCAAATTCTTGTACAAAAGCAGCAACTGGTTACAAGTAAATGATGTAAGTGGAAAATTCAAGTCCTTCATTTTGTTGAATATTCTCTCAGTTGCCATTATATTGCTCCGACCAGCACAGTTAGCCAGCAGCGTTCGGTATAATAGCTCACCTCTAAAAGATTCTGGAACACTCTCAATGTATTTCTCTGCCTTTTGGAGGCCATGTAACTTGGCAATCAAATCGAGTTTAGAAACATAATCTCTTTCACCAAATTCAAGCTTCTTGTTTGACTCTAACCACTGAAAGAGCTACAGCTCCAATAAAGAAAACATTACAGCATAAAGCATTATATTGAAAAACCAGAAACTTAAAAAAGGTTATTATACATCATCAATGTCAATTCGTAAATTAAACAGATACCATAGTTATTGTTCTCATAAAGCTGAAGAGCAGAAATTTTGATGATGTCTAAAAGTCAAGTCTCAAGTGCTCTTATTGCAAGAAGATCTTCATGAAGACTTGTTTTTATATTAAAGCTTTTGTACTTTAGTAGATTTATGTATAGGGTGTGGTTTATCTTTGATTCTATGCCTTAGGCTGCGATAAAATTTATTTTGAATAAGAAAACCTCATTTTATACTCAAGATAATTGATTATCAACTTATAATAATCGATAATCGATTATCAACAATCAATTATGACTTGCCATAATTGATCATCACAAGCAATTATAAGAATTTTTAAGCAAGTTTTTTACCGTTGTGCATTCATTAAATGCATAATCAATTACCACACGTTAGTTAGTTGACAACGGATTTTTGGAGGTATCCTTGAGTAAGATCTCTATAAATTAGATTGGGACTCTCATTCTAAAAAACGAAATACGAAACATGCAAAAAGTGTATTTTGAAATTCTTATCTGCAGGTTGCGGTGATAAGTGTTCTAGGGTTTGTTGAACCCTTGTGTTGTGGCTTTGAGAACTTGGCGTGTTGGCATAGAGCGAGAACTTTTATAGGGAGTGTGATTGAGTGTTGTTGTTGTTGGTATAGAGAGAGAACTTTCACAGCGAGTGTGATTGAGTATTGTTGTTGTTTGCATAGAGCGAGAACTTTCACAGGGAGTGTGATTGAGTGTTGCTGCTATTGCTGAGTTAAAAGCCTATCATCCTTCGTGAAGCATTCAGAGATCTCTATAAATTAGATTGGGACTCTCATTCTAAAATACGAAATAAGTGTATTTCGGAAAATCGTATCTGCAGTGTGCGGTGATAAGTGTTTTAGGGTTTGCTAAACCCTTGTGTTGTTGCTTTGAGAAATTGGCATGTTGGCATAAAGCGAGAACTTTCACAGGGAGTGTGATTGAGTGTTGTTGCTATTGGCATAGAGCGAGAACTTTCACAACGAGTGTGATTGAGTGTTGTTGTTGTTGGCATAGAGCAAAAACTTTCACAGGGAGTGTGATTGAGTGTTGTTGTTGTTGCTTAGTTGAAAGCTTATCATCCTTCGTGAAGCATTAAGAGGAAGTGTTCATTCTTTGTGAAATTCAGAGGAGGTGTTTATCCCTTGTGGGTCACAGGAAAAGTGAATTTCATCTCTTGGGTTAACAAGAGAGGTGTTGTAACCTTCAACTTGTTTATTTTCTTTGTAATTGTAACCGTTTGTTGGTTTATGCTAGTGAAGCGTTAATTCTCAATTGAGATTAACAACTGGATGTAGGATCTCTGTGATCCGGACCAGAATAAAAATTACTTGTGCAATTTTCTCTCGTCCTTACTCTTTTAATTTGTTTAAATTTTTTTAAGGAATTTTTATATTTATTTGAGAAAATTATTAAAAGAACGATTTGATATAAGAAACCAATTCACCCCATCTTGGTTTGTTGAACGCGTTAACCATTTTGCTGCGCCGCACTGACAGTTACTACCACAAAAAANTAAAATACGAAATAAGTGTATTTCGGAAAATCGTATCTGCAGTGTGCGATGATAAGTGTTTTAGGGTTTGCTAAACCCTTGTGTTGTTGCTTTGAGAAATTGGCATGTTGGCATAAAGCGAGAACTTTCACAGGGAGTGTGATTGAGTGTTGTTGCTATTGGCATAGAGCGAGAACTTTCACAACGAGTGTGATTGAGTGTTGTTGTTGTTGGCATAGAGCAAAAACTTTCACAGGGAGTGTGATTGAGTGTTGTTGTTGTTGCTTAGTTGAAAGCTTATCATCCTTCGTGAAGCATTAAGAGGAAGTGTTCATTCTTTGTGAAATTCAGAGGAGGTGTTTATCCCTTGTGGGTCACAGGAAAAGTGAATTTCATCTCTTGGGTTAACAAGAGAGGTGTTGTAACCTTCAACTTGTTTATTTTCTTTGTAATTGTAACCGTTTGTTGGTTTATGCTAGTGAAGCGTTAATTCTCAATTGAGATTAACAACTGGATGTAGGATCTCTGTGATCCGGACCAGAATAAAAATTACTTGTGCAATTTTCTCTCGTCCTTACTCTTTTAATTTGTTTAAATTTTTTTAAGGAATTTTTATATTTATTTGAGAAAATTATTAAAAGAACGATTTGATATAAGAAACCAATTCACCCCATCTTGGTTTGTTGAACGCGTTAACTATTTTGCTGCGCCGCACTGACAGTTACTACCACAAAAAATAACACATTAATGGAACAAAACACTTCGTGCAAAACATTGCCTATTTATTATCAACTGAAGGAAAAAGTGCGCCTCTAAAAACATTTGCAACTCATAAATATGCCAGGAAAAACACAACTACTCCCCAGTCCTAATCATAGTTATAAAATCCTGGAAAGAATGGAGCACCAAACTACAAAAGTTCTAGATAAGTTAAAGAAATTCTACAATTTATGTTACGGGTATGCTCAACTCTAACTAGCCAACAAATCCATACCAATGATAATTTTATCTGAATAGTTTCATCAATATCTAAACTATATAAGATGAAATGAGTTTTTCAAACTGTTAGTGAGTTTTTCAAACTATTATCCACTAACGTGAGTTTTGAGAAAAAGAATCCTCCCACTGATTGTATGGAAATATTTTGCCTTGTAGACTAACATCTCTTTTCTAACGTTATTCTATTGTAAATGGTTAGTGTTTTAGATTTAATAATCCATATGTAGTAGTTATTGAGGTCTGCATATGTGTTTCAGAAAGGTTTTAATCCTACAATTGCAAATAAGACTATTTTCTCATTCCCAATATTATCAAAACCTATCTGTAAACACATTCCATGCTCGTAACCTGTTTTAGCACTGTCCATCATTCCATTTTGGGTTTCTGTACACACCTTTTGATTAATTGAATTCTGGTTTTGGAATACTTGCTTGAAATTTCGACTTTTCTGTACGAGGTGTCTAGTTAGTTTGCTCCAAATTTGGTTGCTGTATCTATGAGATCCGTTTTAGAATAAATGGAGACTTTATTGCTTTAGTTTTTGCCTGATATGTATTTCAGCTGAGAGTAAAAGCACTTAATCTGATTTACAATTTTGAACAAGATTTCCTCAAATTATTGAAACTGCTTGGAATTGTAACTTGGTTATGATTCCCAAAGTATTGAGTATTACTTTTCCACAAAACCCATGAGTATTTGGTTTCTCTCAACATCTCAAACTCATTTTAAATACTAGAAGGAATCCTAGGGTGATTTTCCTAATAATTATTCTCGTAGTTTAAACATCATCGTACAGAACTTCAAAACTAAAATGTTATAATTATGCCACATATTTACCCACCATGAATATGCCACAAAATAATGCAACTATCCCTCTAAAACAATTGTCCCACTAGAAATCGACCTTATGACCTTGATTTTGATACCAATTATTGAATTGAGTACTTACCACAAAACTAAAAGTTATAGTATATGGTTAGAATGAAATGCTCTCTACTTAAGAGTGTGGCAGCTCGAGCCATGATTCAATTATTATTCGACCCACTTGTCCTTCCACATGAAGCAATTGATGCACCTTGTAAGATAAGATAAAAGTTGTCTAGATTCACAACCCAAAAAAAGATTGGTAACCAACGTTTATGGTGTATTCCTGGTTTCAATACTGTATGCAGTAGATAATGTGCATAAGCAGGATGAATAGGATACCAATTGTAGTTAACAGGAACTGACAAAAAAGTGCAGTAGCAGGATGGCTGATCATGGGAATGATTTTCATAATGAGATTATAGATCTACAACAGTAATTTATGGACAATGCTGGCCAATGCCACAAGGTTACTAATTAACAGGATATGTAATATTTAACATACATAAATACATGGGTGTGCACATGCGAGCAGAAAAATTAATATCCTTTTCCCATTATATGAGATTGACTGCAAGATCAGTTGATAGCACTGCATTCAATTAAAATTAAATTCCCAGAAATACTTTCACTACGAGATTCATAGACCTTTAGACATTTAAATCACCTCTATCATTTTCTCTTTGATGAGTGTCACAGCAATATCTAATTTTGTCCTAACTTTCCATATCCTATGCTTTCTTGCAAGACTTCACAATCCTATTAACGTACTGATTTATACCACGCCAACTTTTCCTCCAGCATTCACTACAATAATACGCTAAAACTTGGTATTGAGCTTGGTATCTACTTTGTGTTCACAACGTGTGTAGGTTCTTTAAAGAACTATTCAAAATTAAAAATATTTATAAAGTCCGTCTGGAAATATCATAAAAGGATTGGTAGCAGAATACATAGGGATGTAAGAAAAAGATTTGCTAACTGTCACAACACAAGGGTGTAAACAAGGAAACTGGGTGGAAAATGTCAAGCAATAAACTTGAAACGCCAACGGCAACCTAAATTTGTAGAAAAATATTCGAAATGTTTAGCTGGATAAATTGATGGCATATAAAAGTTTCACTAATTTACCTGGAGAGCCCTCCCATACATTTTACCCTTCCGAAGATTGCGCACGGCCAACATGATCTCCTCCCGACCTAGTTCTTTCCCTTGTTGGACCCACTTATCGATAGCAGAATCAATTGACAAACCATGAGCTTTTACAATTTCCTTGAATAGTTCCGATTGAGTCTGTCTACCTGGTGATTGTTTCTTGGTTGGACCAGTCTCATCATCAGATAACTCCAGCTCATCATGTAGTTTTTCACTCTCCTCATCCCCATTAGAAAAGTCTGCGTCAGATTCATCATTACTCCCACCCTCCAGCTCACCATCATCCTCTTTCGTACTGCTAGCTCCGGCTTGCGAGGAAATCCCGCGCCAGTCTACAGCAAAATTCAGGGAAGCAATGTCCGTGGAGCAAAACACATCAGCTAACAGAAACCTACCGTATGAGATGTCAAGATACTGGTGTATACCACGCTCGTTTTCAAGACAAGTGGTAGGCACTAAATTGACACAAGGAGCACGGGTAGCTCCCGCATTAAGCCTTTGGCTCCTACCACAGTAAAAAAACAAGCATAAACTAATCAGATTGTGATGCAAAAACAAAAATAAAAGCAACAGTTCGGTAGAATCATTAGCCTAAAGGCACTAAGAAACCTAGTTCACAAAAAATGATACAATCAGGCAGTGCGCAGAAGGATTAAACTTTAATCATAAGATGGTGGAGACGAAAGGAGAGTTGGTGTTGAATGTAATTTGGAGAATCTGTGTCTGAATGAAAGAGAGTGAGTTGATTGGTTACCTGAGACAAAGAGAAGCTCGTCGGAGGGTCCACATCATAAGAACAGAGCCCAGGAGAAAGCGAGAGAAATTATGTTTTTTTCCCAGCTTAACACATATTACTGTGTTCCATATTTAGATAGAAGAGAAA